GTAATTAAAGAATAAGCAAGCAAGTGAGTAAACTAATGGAACGTTTTTCGTGAAACACACGATCCTGTCGTCAGATGGTTACTGCTTTTAGTGAATCCAAGTACTTCTTTCGCTCTGAGTGTAAAATAGAAATGAGAGATTAAATAGTGGGCATCAGAATTATATGATGGAAAGTTCCCAAGGGATACTACATTTAATCGATGTGAGAGGAGAGCAGTATTTGCGTCTGTCCTTCAATAATATTCTTCTAATTATCGCTGTTGATGTATTTTTTTTGCTTCTTCTTAATTAGTTGCGCTGGAAAAAAATGATGATAGAACTGCAGAATATCGTGAGGACAAAATGCAAACTCATCCTAAATCATTTTCATGTCGAATTAGCCAAGCAATGGGTTCCGAAGCATTACACACAAAATAAATACACTCAAAGCGCTATCATATACCACTTCCTGCGAGTAATTATCGCTTTGTGGGTTCTGTCTTATCACCTTTTCCACAGCTAAGATGTAATTTTTCTAAGGATTCATCAGTTTAACTGATAATCTATATTAAATCTTACGGATAACCCACTTTTGCACTGCTGAAGGTTAATCGGTTTAAGGTATAGAAGAGTGTATTCGAAACAGCTTCTTTGTTTGTGATTCTTTCTCTTGCTGAAGCAAAAACTGATAGGAAATGTTAAAATTCATTCCATAAATGATGATAAGTAACTGATGACTGGTAAGAGATACTTATAAAACGATATCAGTGATAAATGAAAAGAAGTTAACAAACTGCTTTTCCCTCTGATTTTATCTTTGTCATCTTTCCTATTCTTTTTCCATCTCAATTATTTCACAGACAATAGACCTCAAGAAGTTTTGATTTTGAATAGAGGTGTCATACATGCTGAATGACTTGAGTAAAATAATGAATGGAAACTAGTATGAATGAAAAATGAAAAAGTATAGTGCTATAAATAATGAGAGGTAAGAAAAATCTGCTTATTTTATGAGCGTTTTACTTTTGTTTTTGTGCAAAAACGGAAGTAACAAAAAAAATTTTTTCTAGTATAATATTTATGTCAACTTGGTACCACTTCATATTATCAAAGATATATTTGCCCTAAAATTTATGGGAATTTTTTTCAATAATATTTTAAAATTAAATAAAATAATATTTTAAACGATGTGAATTTTTAATTAGATATAAACGACGAAATTACTATTAAATCTTTTTTCCAATTTTTATTCTTACTGTTTTTTTAAAATTGTTTCATAAGCCTGCAAAGGGAACTATTGCATTTCGTAATAGCTGCTACTTTAATTTCAACAAGTTAAACATCTTGTTTACTTTTCCACATCTGCAATGTATCATATTTATATCTATACATCTACATAATACATATATATAAACCAGTTTGAAAATAATTGCCAACTTTGAACAATTGAATTTAGAATGTACTAAAAACGAGGACAAATACAATTAAGATGTGTTACGAAGTTGGTCACTGAACGATTTGGAATGAAAATTTAACCGCACCTACAAATACTTGTAGTTATGAAATCATTAACACACATTAATATTTCTTCCTAAACTTGAACCATATTATAATTTTTAATTTCTTGTTTCTTCTAAATTAGTCAATTATTCTCACTCATAGTAATAGCGTTGAAGATACCATTTGATACCAATAAACTTTGCTTAGCCAAATCACTATATGAACTCAAACTTTTTTACGGTTGCTTAAATCTTGACTAATCACTAGATATCTCGAAAAGCTTATGAAATAAAAGAATATACATTTTTGGCAACTAGAAATCTCTATCTTATGAAACAATGAATTGTAATGAAATAATATAATCAGAATTAAATTTTATAAAATGTATTGGTACTACTCCTTTAGTATTTATTAGCCTTATTCGGACCTTGTGAAGAACATCAATGTTTGAATTATTTTTTGATTTGTGCTTCTTTCGAAGTTCTTTCATGATCAATATTCCTTCCTTTTGTAGAATTTTGTTTCAATCCAACCAAATATTGCTTATTTTTGTCTTCAGGCAAAAATTTTAATCTTTGTCATAGCAAGATGAATAAGTAGACCTTCGTGTTCGAGATAACAACTAAGCGACAATATTCGGAAACGCATAGGTTCTACATCTTTTTGATTGATTATTTGTCTGGTATTTCTAAGCTATTAATGCATTTTATAATACAACACATTCAATGAATAGCTATTAATCACTTTAAAATGGCAAGTAGATTTTCAGAAACTAACATTATAATAAATGATACTTTATGTAATTTAATAAGTAAATATGGCATATTGAAGCGTGAAATTATACCTTTTTTGATATGTTACATCCATCAGTTTAATGTTTATGAGAAGAACATGATCTATGATTTCAATTTAGTTTGGATGAACAATCCGAAATACTGATTTATATGTGCTGAGACTAATTTTTGCACTACATTAGATAATCAGATGGGTTAATACTAGTTGAATTAACTCTGGAATCAAATATAAAGTCATTTGAATATTTTTTTAAATTAAAAACGCATTCATAAACAGTGCTTTTACAATAGTACAACATTTACATTAAAGTGTAAGTAAACTTGTTTAAGTTCTACTGCTTCTAAATCAGTAATTCCTCCATTACTAAAAAAATTTACCTGCTGCTGACAATAGTTAATTACTTCGAGTACACTGGCTTTTAAATGCGCGACCACCACTGTGGTAAATGTGGTTTACCGGTATATTTTGCGGAACTAATGCAAGCAGCAGGACGGTCATGGCACGTTCAATGCTTTAGATGCGGTAAGCATTTTAATAAATGGAACTTCTCGCTAGTGTATAGCTTTTTATCTGAAACTTTTTATAGCAAATGCAGAATGTGGTAGATTTATGGACAGTCGATCCTACAATGATCATGAACAACAGGTCAGTGTTCTATAATATTTAAGAAAGAGTAGTCGTGAATTTAATATATATTAATTAGAAATGACAAGTATACTACAAGATAGCAATTTTGTAGCTCTATTGTAATCACTGCTACAAATGTTTATTCGGACCGAAGGGAGTTGGTTACGGTATTGGTGCTGGAGTATTGCTTACAGTAAATAACAAAAGCAGTGACGTGTGTGAATCACGAGATTCAAGCAACGGTAAAACTTTTTGATGGCTTATCATGATCAACAATTTATTTTTGATGGAACGAAAAAATGCTTCTCAAAATATTTCGAGGTTGGAAATGAACCTCCTTTTTTTCAGATGTTATCGTAACATCCTCAATTTCTTACAGTGATAGAAAAATTAATCAAAAGCCAGGATATATAACACACATAGACGAATCCTTCTCTAGTAAAACAGAAGCAAACTCCGGTAATGGATTCACCGTACTTTTCTTAAACCAGAAATGATTTCCAATGCTGCATGTTTTTTCTTGTTATCGGTTTTTATCTCATAACTAATTGCCAATTCCTTTTCTCATTTTTTTATTACTATCAAAACTAGTTTCTGATTGTATAATTACGTAGCACCCACGAATTTTTCAGGTTACATTCATAATCAAGAAACTAAGGAAACTGTAAGTTCAGTTTGACTAATATTGACATCAACACTTTTTGATAACCGATTATTTCACATAATTATTAAATCATCCATTTTGTAGAACTCATTCCATCAGCTATACATTGTTCAAGTTGTAGGACCAAACTCATATATCACCCCATTTAAGCAAAATCAAGAAGACTGAAAGCGTTTGTATCACTCCCGCAGTTATCTGCTGCAGATGTTCAGAGAAGGTATACGATGCTGAGAAGATATTAGCAGGTGGTAAAGTAAGTAATAATGAAACTGATCAATACTAGAAAGAATTTTTGAATTAATTCTGCAGGAACAACTGTTAATTTATTTGAATAGCAATAGAATAGTCAAGGATTTGTTCTATCTAGTAAACACTGAAGATTATATGAATTTTATTGATAAAACCTCAACTACTGTAACCGTTTCCTAATAATTTAATTCTCTTTATTTATGTGATTCTAGCCTTGGCATCGCGAAAAATGTTTTGTATGCGATATTTGCAAGAAGTCACTTGAACCACGAACAGTGTGCGTGAAACATGACATTCTATACTGCAATTGTAAGTTTCATATAATATAGTCTTGTTTCATAATTTAATCCCCATTACTAAACAGTCACCAATCAAGTTTTTCGTAGTGAAATCGCACTAATAATGTAGGATTCAAGAATGTTTATAATTGAGTTAATGCTAATGTCTGTGCTTAATTAGACAGGATTGCAGCATGTTTCGCGAAAGAATTTGGACCTAAAGGATATGGTCGAGGTGTAATAGGTAGAATTGTACAGACTAATTCACAGCACATGGAACTGGTGTGATTTCTATCATTTCAATACAATGAGCGACAATTTTCTTTAGGGAATTGGGGTATTGGTTGAAGTTTGCAATGCAGTAATTCCTATAAGCTCAACATGTGCCTTTAGTTTCCTTCTTTGTTTGGGACTTCATAATACTGAAACATTGAAAGACCATTTATAATTTGTTATCAGCTTTCCTTCTTGATTATCTACATCTTAATCCGATTAATCAATAAAACAGATGAACTTTACTTTTCAAAAATGAAAGTTCTATATTAACTGCTAACATGTAATAAGCAATCACACAAAGTTTTGGAAATTAAAAAAAAATGTCAGAAAGTCCTTTCCAAAAATTTATCTCGCAAAAGACTGCTTAAAACAAATCACTCAAGAATGGTCTACAGAACACCGATACTCTTCACTAACGGAAATGAGAGAAATCGAGAAAATTCAATAAGAACTCACTCACATACCAATATTTATTATTTTCTTACCATGTAAGTATAAACAACTATTTGGTTATGTCAAATATTCTGGAATTTAGGCTGTTCTGCAGAAGACCAAAGACAAATCCTAAGATGAATTGAAGCAATTTTGAAAGCAAGAAGTAAACAGATATAATGCAGAAAGACTAATCAATCAAAATATACTTTAGAAAGGCACTTGAGTGAACGAATGGTAAACTTTTTGGTAATTCATTTTTGTAAAAGCAATGAAGATAGATAATCAAAATGGTAGAACTGAAAGAAATGAACTTTGGAAGACGAAAAAAGTTTAAAACTCTTCAACTTTTTTTCTTTCAGTAATGAATAATCTCGAAAATGGAACTTTTAGACTAGATTGAACAATACAGATGAACACAAGTTCGATTATAAATAGTATGGTTGAGGAAAAGCAAACTTTGTTACAATAATAAGAGTAAAAAACATTAAAAAAGGAAATCATTTAAAAAAAATTATATATCACCAATGTGTATGGGCGAGAATTAGTTGCTCGATACCCAAATAAATGGGATATCAATTTGAAATGGTTGAATTGAACCAAATAGCAACAAATGCAAGCGCCATCACGCTACTTTTATTCTACAACAACGTTTGAAGTTATTATGCATTATATAAAATCTAGCAAAATGGTAGAAAAACTCGGATTTCTCATTTTTTTTCTGGCAGATTGAGGAAATCGGTTGGACATGACTTGTTGCCGTAATATGGGATGTCGCCCAGTTTTACGCTTCGCTAGCATCATCAGCTCCCTCGTCCAGTGGTCCTTAAAAATTATAACAACTAGAACTTTGAATCAAGATTATCTATAGGATTACTGAGATAAAAACAGTAGAGACTAATCTTTCTAAGTTAAATTCTAATTATTTGAAAAAAATTAAATCAACAAAAGAAAAGCAAAGTAAGAAAGTCGCGTTCGTTCTGATAAAATATGCTATCCAGTTATGCAGGCACTTAAGGAAGCCTTGACGTTAAAAGCGAACCCGACAATAAGAATTTCTGGACATAAATTTTCAAAATCAGAATTAAAACAGAAGAATACAAAATTGTAGCTTATTTCAATTTGTTATAAATCATGCGACATACAGGATCTGATAGATATACTGCACTTGGAATACGGCACAACAAACAGTTACATATTAGAATTCAATGTACATTCAGGTACACATCAATCTGTCATGCTGTCATCGTCTCCACCTAAATTAATCGTACCACAAGTTACTTGAAATATTTCCATCCACATAAAAACATAATCATAAAATGAGGCGAAAGTAAGTCATTAGAATCTGAACCTCACTTCAATAGTTTTTTCAAAATAGCCATGCAATATTTCAAGTTAATATTCTGAGTAGAAACAATCGCTAGATATATTTAAAAACTGAGTTATTAAACCATTAAGTCAACCAATTTTGAGGTTAGTAAGAATTATTATCATCTTATGTTCTAGAAAGAATGAATGTTGATGGAACAAAAATCAATTTTAACGTAATAATCCACTGATATGATAGTAATCCTATATTTTAATGTCGAGTAATGAAACAACTTGCAATCATTAGAGATCACAAATTTGATTTTCGAAATTATTTTTTGGTAAAACATACATCGATGAAAAACCCGAAGACATACGAATAATTTGACTATTCAACAAGTCCATCAAAAAAATTGCAAAATAACAAAATGAAACTAGGATAATGCAAGAATGTCATCCGTGCGGAACACTACGAAAATTTGTAAAACTACATACGTAAGTTATGAACATGCGACAAAAGTTAGAACGCAGCACTGAAAGGCATGAAAAAGAAAAACAGACCTTCGATATTCAATGTTAGTTCAACGTTAGCTTCACCTGCTTCATTTTTGATATTACATGTATATGTGCCACTGTCTTTTGCTTTGTAATTCTGGAAATATAATTTTACAATGTTACTACAAATATTGATCAAGAAATTTCCGAAGAGGTCCTTTTAATCTGAGAAAAAATTTCCTTAAAATTTCATTCTAGTCAACTATTAATGCAAAAATATGTACGATAACAAATACCTTGAGTTCTAACTGAGCAGTAAAAGTGTTTGCACCTCCATCAGGTACTAAGCCAAATTTGATACGACTGGACTCCTTCATTTTTTTGCCCTTGGGATTTAACCAAATAACCTAAAAATTTACTTATGTGGTTCAGCAAAAACTTTTGGAATAATAACAAAAACGATCACTACTTTGAAGGCAAGTTGTCTACCTCAGGATTCTGATCAGCTTGGAACCCAATATCAAAAACAATAGCTGGATCACCAGAGTCTGATGTTTTTTGCAAGATCTGAGGTTTACGAGTAAAAGTTGGTGCTCCTTGGGGCACTGAAATAAAAAGACTTCAATTGTAAGCCCTTAAAAGCAAGAGGGGTCACTTTTAAATTTAGAATAAACAAATAATAAGGTTAAGAGAAAGAGAACCTTCAAATTTGACAGTAAACGTGGCTGTTAGTTTGCCGGATTCGTTCTTTGCAGTGCATACAAACTGACCAGCATCTTTCTCTTTTGTCGGCTCCTGAAATAATCCCAATTCGACAAATCAGTATCAAACTGCTGCTTTTTGCAAATTTAGAACGAGATTAGACTCACTTTAATTTCAAGAGCGGCGTAATAGATCTGATTTGCTTCTTCCTTCAAAACAATCTTAACTCGATCTGATTCAGCCACTATTTCATTTCCCTGAAATACAAGCAGCCGCATTTACAATACAATTTTATTGGTATGATAAGAAAATAGCAGTTCATCATTTTCTTTCCATATTTTAGAACAGTTACTGAGTGAGCAGTACTATAAATGAAATGAACCTTTTGCCAAACAAATGTAGGCTTAAGAATTGACTTTGCTCTGAATTCCATTACCATTACTTGACCATCATCTCGAGATGATATTTGTGGTTTTTCGACAAATGTTGGCGCACTGAATCCTATAATTTATCAATTTCAAATTTAATCATTAAATCTTTTACAGCTAGACCAATTTATAATACCAAAATCAATCCCCCTGAAAAGTTTGGTGATTTAAAACATTAATGAAATAGAATTATGAATTGTAAAGATTCAATTATGGCTTTTCGAAGTAAAAGAGCAATTACTTCACTAGACAATATTTTGACAAAAACACTGAACGTATGTATGTATACAGTCTTTGTTTGCAAAATTAAAAGTCAACAGAAGCTGAAATATAGGATTTATACACACCAGTAAGTTTGAGATTGAAATTAGCGTTTCCTTTGCCATGTGGATTTACAATAGCGCATCGGTATGCACCAGCATCGCTATCAGCAAGATCCTGAGAAACATTTTTATTAAATGTGACCAAATTGATAAAATAACAACTCTCTTGCTCAACAAGGCATTACTACTTTGAATACTGAAAGTCTTCAAATCCTGCCTTATATGATAAAAACTTCAAATTATATGCTTGAAATCTCACCTTGATCTGAAGAATGGCAGAATAGGCATCGTTTCCCTTGTTATCCAATCGAAAACTGAATCGCTGATCTTGTTTCAGTTCAGTCTAAAAGATAGGCATCATCTTCTGTTTTACAATTATTATAACTGCTTTGAAATCATATTACATCATACATATGTTATAGCTGAATATAAAAAAAATTTTTATTTCGATAAAAATAAGTGATATACCAGTAAAAAATTTGTTCCATATATTATATAAATGTATTGATAAAATCAAAGCACTTTAAGACAAATTTTTGACTATTAAACTTAACAATGATTGTGAATAAGAATAAAAATGGCAAAAAAAGCTCACAGTATCATAGAACCACTTAATGTCTGGTAATGGCTGAGCTTCAAGAAAACACTCTAGTTCCAACGAACCATCATCATTTTGTCGAGCAACAGGCTGCTGCGGGAAATGAGGTGCCTTACCCTCGGGCATTTTTTCAATGTAACAGTTTTAAACTTCCTGCACGATTTCAGTAAATAAGCAAACTGTATATTATTCAAAAAATAAACAAACTTAGCTGACGAATTTATACGTCCTTACCATAAAAACTTAATTTTAAGGAAAACCATTCAGTACAATTCAACTACATCAATGTTAACTGTAATTTCAGTTTAAAAAAATTTTTTTTTTTTTGCATTTATTAAAATATACATATTAAAATGATCGTAATCATAATAGAAGATGTCAGAAAACGTTTATTGTAGAATGATTAATTATACATTGCAGTAAATGTAACATCAAAAGCAACGTGAAAAATATTGTGCTTTGAAAATAAATAAGTTGTTGATAGAGGATGTAAAGGTAGAAGAAAATTGCTCTCTCACTCAGAAAGAAAGCAGTAGGAAGATCTAATGAAAAGATAAACGTTTGAATAGAAAGAGAAGAAAGAGTCAATCTAAGCAAGCAAATTCTAATATGAAGAAAACAGGCAAACGAACGAGTACTGAGCAAATAAACAGTAGAGGGAAGAGACACGTAGCGAACGATCATTGAGCTGTTGCTGAATATTATCTGTGCATATTTCTAATTACTTCATATTAATAATTATTTTAATTTGAATCAAACAAAAATCTCCTTTTAAGCGTAAAGTATGAAAGAAGCACATAAACGTGCAAGTGTTGTATTAATTCTTAGAGTGGAAATAGACCTCTCATAAATTATAATTCTTAAAGAGAACAGAAAGTACAACACTTTTTATGTGAGAAAGAGAGGAAGAGTCTTTTTAGAAATATTAAGTGAATTACAGGATTAAAAAATAATCGGAGAATGAGAAAATTCGAATATTATAAATAATAAATATGCTAAGAATGACAAATTAACAGTGAAAGCAACAATGTTGTAATATAATTGTGAAGTATATCACTAGGAAATTTATAATTTTTTTGATTTCATATCAATATCAATGAGTAGTACAAACTATTCTTTGAAAATGATTTGAGAGTGTGAACGATAAATTCAGAAATGAACTTGAAATTTCAAAAAATTTATACTGCATAGTATGATGATAATCAATGCGATTCTAGTTTACCGTGTGGTGAAAAAGTTAAAAAAGTGACAGTAGTAAAACATAAGAAACGCGATTTTTGGAAAATACAATTTTGATATTAAATAAACCAAGTTTTAAAGAAAGCAACTTTGATTAAAATTTAAATTAGCTAATGAATCGATTAGTTAAATATATAATTTTAGGTTTTTTTTTACTTACTGTGAGTTAGGTATACAAATTGCTTTCTATTTATCGTTACGCAAAGAAATGCACTTCTGGAACATTACTTCTTACAGTTAAGAAAAAATATGACCTCTAACTCTAATACTTCGATCAATTTATTAACAACATAGTTTCCTCAACGATGTTCTCATAATTTTAAGAGCACTACGACAGTATGCAATAATAAATTCAAGGACTTTATCTGATATTATTAACATATGCAAATTTCATTCACACAATGAAAAGGCGTTATGTAAACGAAATTTGACTGTATTTTTCTATGGGAACCCTATTTTTGTCTCAGAATTAAAAATTTCATGATTCTTTTAGCATCACAACTATTTGAAAATTGCTGATGTAAGTCGTAGAAACTACGAAAATTTTTAACAAGAAAAAAAAGCTCTTAAATACATATACTGAATTGTATTTTGATCTTGTAAAGTTACCAATGAAGAGAGCAAAACATAAATTGTTGAATATTTCTTGAAGAGTAATCTCCAACAGAAAATATTCATCACACTGAAAAATTTGCAAGTGCTCGTTTTTTTTTCTAACCATAGTGAGCTAAGATATTCAAATTTATTAACATGATCTTGAAGATAACTTCATCATTGCGTTGATTTATAGCTTATGGTTAGTAAATTCATAATAAAAATATACAAAGTGTAGCAAGATATAAACTTTCTAGAGATCTAACCAACCGAAATAGAAACATACATATATATACCACTTAATAAGCTCTCAAAAATTTAATCAGCTGTTGTTACGTAGGAATTTACTGATTAACATGCAGAAATAGTTCGTAAAAAGTTTAGTGAAAATTATTCTTAATATTCGTGAGCGACTTTTCCACATCCTACAATTATGTTTTACACTCAATGAAGTCTTTTTAAGATTCTTTAGGCAATTAAGAAGTTTCACTGAAAACTCAAAAATGCTAAAACTAAGAGTAAGAAATGAGAGCAAAAAAAAAATTAGCAAAACTTTGCAATAGAACTTTTTTGAAGAGTATTTTTCTCCTAAAATAAATAAATACTGCAAGCGGAAAGTGTTGATCTGATTATAATTTAATAAAAAGGTAAGGTAATATTGTGAGATAATAAATAAATGGCTAAGATATAACATTTTTTAAGCGGAATTTAGATGAAAAATAAAGAGGAACTATTCGTTCTTTATTCTTTTATTCGCTTTTTCAATTGCTCACTTAAAATGAAGTAACAAAAAGGTGGTAAGTAGCAAGCTGTCGCAAAACGGATGTCTGAATAGAAGTGAAGCGAATTAAATAAGCGCATCACAGCATTTTAACATTAGCCATCAGTGCACTAAAATGCAAGAAGAGAAGAAAGAAGATGAAGGAGGTTTAAACAGATATAGTTAACTAATGCATTGGATTGATGGTGAAAGCGAGAAAGCAACAACTATATGATGTTGTAAATTCTAGCAAATAGCTTTGTTCGGAACAAATGCGAGTGATGAAAGCTTTTTAACAGTTATAGTTACTACTTTCACGTGCCTAAAGATGGCTCCTTCCAGAAAAAACAAAAATTAAGTAATTTGTCTAACAGATAAAAGAAAAATAAAACTTTCTTCTTTACTATATCAATTAGTGTAAGTTTAAAATTAGAGACAGAACTATTGATCATTTTGTTATCAGTCACTGATATATGAATGTGTTTAGCCTAAAGGAAAAAGTTAAAGAGGAAGGTAATAATGAAATGCTTTATTGCTATGATTTTCGATACCAGTACTACTGAAGCACACCCACGTGAAGCAGCACATACTAGAATCTTTGTAAGCTCTCATCAGACTGCAACTAAAAACACATTGGTAGTTAAGAAAAGCAAAGAGAAAACCAGAGCAGTAGGTAGTTATCTTCATCTACAAGAAAGCAAACGAAGAGCTGCGAAAAAAGAGAATAATATGCTTGCCTTTTCACTCATGCAGCTAACAGCCTTTTCACTTCTTAAAATAACTTCTTAAAATAAATATAAAAACGACTAGTCTTCCATCCAGTGTTGTAACAGTTAGTGAGATTGAATGTCTCCTTACCATAAGTCATTACAACTAACATACTAGCTTTCTGGTAAAATACGATGGATGTCTAAGAAATCCAGAGCTAATGCATAAAAACAAATTCAGCACATAAACAGATTAGTATGTTTCATTACAACTTACTTTCTCGCGATAAAACATCACTCAATAAGTTTTAAGCAAGACAATTACCACCAAAATACATCCTCATTATTATTATTATAAGAGCTCACATCATCACTTAGAACATCGATAACTGAGAAGAATGTGCTAAAAATTGTGTACACAATTCTTAACATGTTTATTTCATAAACTAACTAAATGTAAACAGAATTAGTTTAAAAAATGAATTTTTTGAAGAATTAACGTCATAATTACAAAGAAGTTGAGTAGTCTATATTGCTCAAAGAATAAGAAATCATTTACAATGTTATAAATGCACTCAGATAATTTTTAAAATCGCAGAAAATATTATTGGACATGATATATTTTTACAAAGATTAGTTAGAAAAGGCAGCCAAAAGTAAGTGAAACGTCTAAAAAGTGTAGAAGAAATAAGCTATATCATTTATTAACATCAAACAACCATCACTATTTTAGTTCGAATAAATTTTCTTATTAATCTTGAAAGTTTTTCATGATACCTTCACAATGCACATACTTGAACGTTCTATCGCTGCATTGTCATCGGAAAAAAATGCAAACCAAAACAAGCAGTCATAAAAGAAGCAAACAACATGATTTGACTATTACCAAATGACTTATTGCTTTGCTCGATTTTCTGGTAAAGAAAATGAAGTTAGTTCTTCTGAATGTATGCTTTTAAATGAATGCTAGAAGTCCATATCGTTAATTTTAATTTATTTTTTGTTTTAACATTTATTTTGTAAAGTAGCAAAAAAAACCGAGCATATGAGGTCATATTTAATGGCCATTGTCAAAAATGCATGCTGAATCTTGCTATGAAACAATTTAAGCCATAAAAATTTAGGTATGTATTACTGTTCGTTTGTTTTCTTGATTTATGACAAGAATTTGATCATGTAAGAAAACAAGAGAAATTAAAAATTTATTGCAAAGAAATTTAAAATGAATGTGTTGAATTTCTTTCCCAAAATGTAACAGATAAAAAATTCGGTTAATTAAGCAAACTATTTCATGATTGGCGTGGTAATATTTCAAAAACATATCAGCTGAGGAAAGTTTAGTTTAATTTGTATAGCTTTAGTTCATTACAAAAAAAGATACATGTGGCATTGTGTTAAAAAATACCGTACTAAACGTTTAATATTGCAAATGCAAAAATAAAGTAATGGTAACAATGCAGGAAGCATTGATTATTTAATTATTTATAGGAGTGAAAATAAACTGCTTTGGAAGCAAAACTCTCATTATGGATCAAAATTTCATCCATCGTTTATCATTCACAGTAGAAAAAGAATGCTAGGAAGTGGAAAAACAGGGTTTGTATGAAATGGAAAGAGATAGACAGATCTATAGTACTGCAAAACAAGGTCATTCTGGCTGAAACTCATGCTTTTGTTGCAAAACTGTACAAGTTGATTTCTGATAGTCACTTCCTGATTTTCCAGCCGTACGTTTACACTGAGCAAACAACTGAAAGATTTAAATTTGTAAAGTACGGTTACTAGATTGCAAAATGATTTTAGCACATTTCAATGTGCAAATATAGTGTAGGCCATCTTTAAGAAAGCATATTATAGCCTTCACTAATAATTCATATTCTGTCATAAAAAAATAAGATTTAAATTGTGCAGTAAAGAATCTAGTCCCTCGCATTTCTTGCGATTTTATTGCCAAACACTTAGAGGAAGCAGAATTATTTATATATTTCGTGTTTTCAAACTTCTCGTAAAATGTTAAAATGCATTATTTTTCGATGCTTTTCCCTGTAACAATATTTTTCAGACGTATTTACTTATTTTAATGACTTCATTCCCTCAAGTTAAAATTTAAGAATGAAAAATGTAAGAACAAATATATTAATAAAATCTTTGTAAATCACATTACAATCATCATCTAATCTGTCTAATAGTTTTGTTTCATAAAAAACTATACTGGCCTTAGCAATTTTTAAAAAATGTTTTGGACTCGTTAAAAGGAATACCAGAAATTCTTCTACCCTTCAGTGATTTTGATCCACAGCTGCTAACTCTTAAAACGAGACCGTAAAGAATTATTTAAAAAACACATATGCAAGCATTTATCGAATTACAACAAAATGTATCGGTCTTAGGTTGTTTTCCATCTTCTAGCTGGCACGAATTTCAAGTGTATGCAAAAATTTTTAGCATATAATTACTGCTTCGTATATTCAAAAAAAAAAAAAAAAATCAGATTTTAAGATTTGTATTCGTTTCAACGCAGTATTTCCATAAATATGAGTCAACTATAATTCTAAAATTTATTATTTTTCGCATATTCTTTCAAATAATTTCGCGACTTACATTTATTGTTTGCATACAAAAAGAAACAGATATTTTACTGACATCTTTTACGTATTAAAAACAATGAACAGTAAGCTCGAAATATATTCCAGTCCATAAATTTAAAATTAATATAGACTGCTTCACTATATATGGACTTTACAAATTAGCATAAATACATCAATTAAAGCTGCAAATTGTGGCAGAACATTATTTGTTCATGTGTTATTGGCATTTGTTCGTTTCATATTTTTTACATTTCTTCAACGTTCTGCAGACTTTTTTATAACAGTCACATAAAAATAAATGATAGTTTGAATATTTTGGCAAGCATTATCCAAATATAACTTTAGTTATTACCATTAAATATTAAAAAAGCATTGCTCAAGTATTTTTCGCCAATCTTCGCCGAGCGAAGTTCCGTAGTTCTCGACGAATGCTGGATGGAAAATTCTTCGCAAGCTGGAAGGAAATGCTTTCTGACTGCTAATTATTTTAATTACTCTTTTAGAGTTCATTATTTTTAATATATTAAAAAAATGCTATTATATTTCTATAATGAGTTTGAGCTTTCTATAAGAGCCTACTATTACTTAGAAATACAATTCTTTCTAAAATAGTCAAAAAATAATGCTGTCTACATCAGATCTTTCCATTTCTCAAGTATTTCTACATGTTTAAAACAAATTCACTAACTTTGTACTGCTCTTCAATCTCTGCGTACAAAAGAATACTCAGAGCTTTTTGTGCTGCAACTGACATTCGGCGTATTTCTAATAGCAACTCTTGCTGACAGTGTCGACGTTCTCCCATGTAATGATTATACGCCGTAAGTTGTTTGGTAGTCAGTAATGATACAGCCAATAAGTGAATCTATAAGTAGGTATGCATTTTTAATTTTAAAACTCTAAAATATATTCTAGAATGCAATAAATTTACATGTTATTTTATAAGACATCATGAGTACTTTTAATCCATTTACAATTCATTGTTAGAATGAATGTACATTGAGAATATGCAGTTTAGGAGAATATGAGGTTTTATTTCAGCCGAAGGTAAAACAGTGTTTCATATTTCCACCTGTGCTACAGAAATAAAAATTTAAACCATTTCTTGACGTAAGCTTTCAGATGGGATATCTTGATCATTCCAAACCTTCAAGAACTTCTTGATAACATCTTCATTTGCATCGTTTAAAAATGATGGAAGCTCGGATTTTTCAGAAACCTGCAAATTTCTTTATTATATTGAATGTAAAACATTATACCATGACAAGATCGAAAATATTATTATACCTCATCGTAAACAGCTTCATCTTCTGAAATCTGTGAAATGCGACGACCAATCGAGTCATAATTGTTACAATTACGGAACATTTTTACATTTTCTGAAACAAAATTGATTTTGAATGATCAGTATTTAAATTTTCATCTATTTTACTGATCTTAAAACAGAAAAAACTTACTCTTTACAGCAGTAGTTGATTTGAAGAAGGAATTAGCATCGCTATCAGTATAAATTAGGTCATACAAGGAGTCATCAGTAAAATTTTGGTTCTGAAATTTCCTCCTTGTTTGATATAAGTAAAATGCATGAGGTGGTAATACGTGAAGTAAGATTTGGCTGAATTTCAAATTTTGTATAGAATTAAATTCTCGTTTGCTTACTACGAAAGATGAAGGTGGTGTTGAATACTCTGCTCGATGAGTGCGTGATTTGTGCTGTTTCAGCTCTGATAGAACTCGAGAATGATTCCCAATATATAGTGTCGTGTTTTTTTTCTAAGCAAAGTTATCTTATTCCACCACAAGCAGACCAAATTTTATATTCAAGCGTCAACTTTGAAATGAAAATGCTTACTTGCTGTATTGCAAGTTGAATAATTTGTTGGGGTGAAAAATTTCTCGTAATTTGCGTACCTAAAAAAATTCTTCTGCGACCTACTTTTATAGCAAAGCTTTCAGTGCCATTGGCTCTTATCACCATATTTCAAAACATAAAAATAATTTTGTTTAAACTCCTTCATCAGTATTTATCATTGGAATATTTTATTCACCTAATGGTTGAGTTTAGAAAATTAGCTGATCATGAAAGAATCAAAGCAAATAGTGTAGCGAATGAAAACTTTTTAATTCAGTTACAGTCTTGATTTTAAAAAAAACGATATGTTTTGCAACTTGCTTCTTCTACTTGCTGATACTTTTTTTGTGAAATATTAGAAGTTAAAAAATCAGCAAAAAAATTTCTTCATTTACTTTTTTGCAAAGTTGTTATTGTAAATGATAATTTGCACAAAAAATAGACATTAGAAAAGTAAAATGTAGTTAAGATCTATGTTCTTGCTTCAATTTCCTTCATGAAAAACAAATTTTAAGATGGATGTGTGAGGAAAGACTTAAGAAAAAACCAATACCTGCAAAATTATTAGCAGTATCAAGTTGCTCTGCATTATAACCACTTCTCCATTTTAGGTTTTTCCTACACAAATAAATAAATAAATAAATCAGCTTTCGGTAAATACAATCTAAAGAATAATTGCTAATTATGTTTTCAATCCAAAAAATTGATCTCTTAACTTTTGTTCTTAAAACTATCATTTTCTTCTATAATTTCTTTGAGAATGAAGCAATAATCATGCAAGCTTATACATCTTTTTCTTGACTCCTCATTCTAAGAATATGAAAAAATTGATGCCCTCATCTTGATTCAACTTCTTTACTAAAGTCTACCGAATATTGTGCAATTTTCCTCTCGCAAATTGTTGTATACTATCATAGCCTCCAGGTAAGTTAAGTGAGTTTTGGATCTAGAAGTAAACTAAAAATGTTAACAAAATCTTTTAGAAGCAACTATAAATTTTCTTTTCAAAAGTCTATTAAATACTTTAAATTCTAAAATTTTTAGTCAGTATTAGTTACATATAACCATAAAGATTTTGTTAATTCACCCTCCAAAAACTCCATACTACTAGTTAAGAACTAACATTTATGGTCGAACATCGAGACAGAGTGCAAAACATCAAATAACATGTATAAGAATAGATCAACCCCATTCAGAACAAAATCAGTGTGTCTTATTTTATATTCAAAATATAAATATACTTTTCCAAGGCAAGAAATACGTACTAAAACATGTATAGATTATCAGTTAATAATGAAAGGTATTGTAGCTAGGGGTCAAGAATAAATATGATAGTTTTTTTTCCTGTGTTTAAATTCACGGAAATGTCAGTACTTAACATTACCTTCTATATTGCTTCTAAATGTTTTTTATTATTAAAATTAATATAAAACCTCCAAAATTCTCAAAGAATCAGCATTTAATTAAAAAAATATCTAACGGAAAATTTGGTTAAAAAAATGTGAACTTCGCAGAATAGTTTGAAGCACCGACAGTGAATGTTAAAAATCGACAATTAATGTTTTTATGTGAAGTTGCCGAGCTTTAAAAACATGTATACCCCCACGTATAAACTTAAAGTGACCTTTGTTTCAAAATCTGGTTTATAAGAATATGGATGCACGGATGCACAACAAATAAAATTACTGCATTCATTAGTTAATAAATTGGTCAGATTTTACTTTTTCTTTACTTAGTTACTTTCTTAATAATTGCTTTAAACCAGTTACTAACAACTAGTCTTTCACTAAAACCTGCTTTAATTACCATTGTTATATTATAACCAACTATCTCATCTCCATGCTATTCCATTATTTTATTTGCAGTTTCTTTACTACTTTTTTTCTCAGTGATAAACCTCTAAAAAATGGAAAACATTGGGGAAAACTCCTTTCTGAAATTACAGCTTAATCACTCCCAAAACATATGTTTTGAACGAACAAGAAGAGAAATTTTATCAGGACTTTTAAAACATACAAGTAATATTCCAATAAAATTGATACTTTCAGTCCTAGTAAAGATATAAAAAGAAAGTATATTTGCTTAGTTGACATTACTGTGCTGAGATATACGTACAGGTGTATTTATCAGTACCTAGGTAAATTTTGAACAGATTTTGTTATTCTATATACTGCACAGGCACCTTCATAGCGTTCACTACCCATATCATGATTTTATCGGCATTGCCAAACTGATTATATTATTTAGATTTATCTTCAGTCCATTTAGCACGTCTAAATTTTAATTCTTCAGCACATTGGCTAAGACCAGTTAAATAAAGACTCAAAATCAATGCATTCAAACTATCTATGTAATTGAATGATATTCTACTTGTCAAATTCGTCAGTCATTCTATTACTACTTACTGAAGTCTTCTAATCCACAATTTTAACATCCATATACAAGTAATCGCGCCAAAAAAAAAATAGCTGAGTAATCATGTGAAATCAGTCTTACAGAAAACGATAATTTCAAAAATCAGAATAATACGAGAAATAGAAACCTAAAACGCTAAAAAAAAAAGATAATATAGTTACATTCCGGGTATGATAATTCTTTTATTTTTCTGTCACATTTGAACCTTTTCTACAACCGCAGTCTCCACAAAAATAAATTTTATGTCGCATACATGTGAACTGTTCAAAACAAATAAATACTTTACATATTTTTTTAAATTCGAAAGAGTCATTGTCAACTTTTTCCTCATTGAAAAAATGAAAATTTCCTTTATAATTTTCAATATTTTTTTAATCATTTATTTGTTTATCATAAAATGAAAGCTAATATTTGAGAATTTCCATGTCAAGTTCTTGATAATCTGCTTGGTGCTTGAACTAAACATCTTCTTAAGTTTTGACGAACATTACACCGATAATCTCGTACACCTAAAATTATCAAGCCAAGAAAAATGTTAAAAATAAAGTACTTACTACAAGATATGACAGGTACAACTATAAAGAGATAAAATTCCTTTTATTGTTACTTGTAAGGTAAAACTGGATATTTTGGTAATGAAAGTAGCCATGACTTGACATACCTCGCTTGGAGTCAAAATACTGAGAAAAGACCAGGTACAGAGGAAGGTCAAAAGACTTTTTACTACGGCAAACTTCACGGATGAAACTATCGGTTAAGAATTTCGAGTTTTATTTCTTTGATTTTGTGATTAAAACCATTTAGTAATAATTGCAGACTTGACTTATTATTTTATTTAATGGAATATGAATGCATTTATTCTTAGGACTTAGTGCAAGGAAAAGCATTAATTACCCGAACAATTCTTATTGTATCTTCCGAAAGTTTGTCTTCGTTTTGTCTCTGTGTTTATGGTGGGTTCCGAAAATTCCAATGAAGAATTGTTGAAGATGTGGAGATGAATTTATCAGTCTAGACTGTGTCGTTTCAGCAACCTGTCTTATGCTGAGTTATGTTTGATGTAATAAGAGACAATTTATTTCCTTAGCAATGGGAAATAAATCACCTGTCCAGCCATTGTGATTTGAAGATCGAGAAAATGTAAATCTTTCAGTTTTCAGATTTGCAAATGATAGAGGGAGTATGTGATTTTTGTGAAGTTTGCCGTAGTAAAAAGTCTTTTGACCTTCCTCTGTACCTGGTCTTTTCTCAGTATTTTGACTCCAAGCGAGGTATGTCAAGTCATGGCTACTTTCATGATAACCACTGTACAAAGCAGCTCTTCTTTGTCCAAATTTAAATAGTCCACAATAAAATGCAAGACGACTGATATTTCTCAGCTCAAATATACTTTTTATTAAATAAAGTAGTTATCATGGAAAATAATTGTGGTTATCATTTAGCTTTCAGTAATAATACTTTCAAAATATGATACCATTTCATATTGAAGACAAACACTAGCAAAGCATTAAATGATAACAAAAAAGCGATATGACATTGATAGGCAGTTCAAAGCATAATTTAGGTAATTACAGCAAAATAAATTTGCTACCAGTGTTTTTCGCATCAAACATCATCAGCAGAGAATCAAAAAACTAATCCAATATGTGAAGGATGAAATGTATTATAATCCAAATTTGTATAAAGTGACTACTAGAAATTGGAATTCTGTAAATTTTGAATGAAATCGTCAAGATTTTCAAGTGTAATACAAGTCTGATCAAATTGAGTACTTGAAGCGATCACCTGAGCACCAAGATATGCTGCGTTACATCTCCATGGAGAAAGATGGACCTAAAATAACATGACAGCCATGAATAGGAAAATGAAAGAAATTGCAGCTGAATGTGTAAAAGTATAATATTAAAAAAAAAAATAAAACGGTTACGCTGCTGCAAAAATAAAATGTAATGATCGTTTTCTAAAACAAAATGGGGTACCAAAGTATAAGCATCTAACAGCAGTACAAAAATTAACTCTACAGTCGTTTTACGTAAGGAAAGGTGAAATTTTATGTAACTAAAGTGAAACATAAATTATACACTAAAGATATAGCTGAAAAGCTTGTCGCGTATGACAAGGAAAAGTTCTCATGATACAATACGCTATAATGTTATAAATCAGCAACAGAAAGTATTTCAAAACCTGGGTATGTATAATTGGTGCAACAAGTGAAGCAACTTCTATTTCCAGTCTTTCCGCTAAACCAGGTAGTAAAGATACACCACCAGCCAAATATATATTTCTAAAAATAAAAAATGAAGTAGCTAAATTGAGAGAATTTGAAAAAAATTACCTGAACAAAGTTTTTCTACTATCAATTGGTGACGATTGAACTGCTTCAAAAACTAGTTGATGAAGAGGTTTTATATCAAGACCCCATTTTTTGGGTTTGAATAAACCTTCAGTAGCAGTGAAACGAGCCGAATTAATCTAAAACAAAAGTTTTTATGAATAAAAATTGCGATACTTCAGATCATTCTCAAATGTGAGACTTGCACATAAAAATGAACCTTGAATAAAGACGTCATTTTATCTGTTGGCTTAAACTCTTTAATTGATACAACAACGTCCAATGAAGAGCTATTATTAGTGCATTTTTCTACTTCTTCCTCATAACTGGTAGCAACAAAGCAAGCCTGGAAATCATTCTGTTGGAGTAATTAATTGCTGAACATTTCACGAGACGAATTTTACAAATATGAAAAGTATAAATTTATTTACCTGTTCCATTACATAACGAGAAATGAGCATTTCAACAGGAGACTGAAAAGAATAGCCACTGACGCTTGATTCCATCAGTTTTCCTTGTAAAGAGTTAACAATGTGAGCCGCACCATAGGGCAATGACACAATGGCATTGTCAACAACATAGCCTTTAAAGTAAGTATCAAAAACATGAACATTAATTATGAGTCGGAAATCATATCACAAAACTCTACATAATTTTTTGTAGCAATGTAAAGCATATATATTTCGTGAATAACAGTGAAACTTGAGAAATGCAAAAATTTTAAATGAGTTTTCAATAGGTAGAGAAAATGTGTTCCTTAGTCACTTTCCTTAGCATGCAATTTCAACGTTTTAAAATTCACAAAAAATGCACCATTTAATCCAATGTAATTTATGCCGCAACTTGTTTTAACATTAAAAAACAGTTACTTTATTATAATGAGTGACTAATATACTTGGTCGACTAATTAGTTCTTGCACGGTGAAATTAAAAATTCATCAAAAGCTGTTCAATATATAGATAAAATAAACGATTTTCAAAACTGGAGATGATTTTTAGCAAATCAGATATAAAAAATCTTAACAGAGAAAGTTAAATACGTGTTAAAATCATAGAAAAAAAAAGCAGTACACAGAAATATTAACATACCATCGATTACTGGCACAATATTTAAACAGTCACCGATATCAATCACAACACCAGTAGCCACATCGTAAGCATATAATATAAGGCTCGGTTGACGCGATATTGCCGCACCCTAGGATTAATCTTATTTAACTTGTTTAACTGACATGAATGACTTAAATAACGAATAATAAAGAAATGCATTTGAAAATGAAAAACATTAGTGCCTTACAAAATAACAGGCAATGACCAAACACAACAATTAATAAACAACAAACCTGGAAGCACATTTCTTCCAACACAATTTTTAATAAATTCGAAATGAGGAAAGTAGAAATATTTTGTGGGATGGAAAGTAGAACCTGAAAAATCAATTCCATTACTTATACAATTTTGCAACGATTAAAGAAAAAACCTATAGATGAAGAAAAAGCAACCCTTTTTAAGATAAACTCCTATCGATACTACTCTTGTAACCTACCATATTTTTTAATAAATGCGGGTCAAAAAATACGTAATTACCCGGTACTTGATTGGATCGATCTTCAAATCATCTACACACTTCTGCAAACACGCTTTCAAAGCTGACCGATGAAAAACATACCGCTCCAATGAGGTATCTGTCGCACGTAAAGGCCTGATCAGCTCACCATTACAGCGGTTCTAAAATTTGTTATTTTACGTTTTTAAATTTATTCATTTAAATTTTGAAATAGATGATTTAAGAAACTCGTGATTACTAATTTACCATCATCTCTAGCAAGAACGACCGACGGAAAAAAATAGCAGACCTTTGGTATCAGTGCCTCAGTACCAACAATTAATTTACCATCGTCTCTAGCAAGAACGACCGACGGAAAAAATGATTGTGGTAAAGAAGGCTCCATTGTCAAAACACCAGCACGTATTGAACACGATCCGAGCTCAATTATTAAGACTTTCTGTAATATAAATAACCAAAAATAAGTAAGATGGTCAGTAAGTTAGAATAAGTTAATCAGAGAAATATCGATGAAGGTAATTCAATATTTTTGGTTTTTTTAAAACAACTGTTTCAAAATTAAAACTAAACTGGAAGTACTGATCAGCAGCCAATTTAATAAAACAATGAATACTATCTTTTTCGACTAAATCTTATCAATTCTCATATCAGTGTTCAGTAACCCAATTACAATTACTAACTACGGGCAAATAAAATTAAAATTTTATCTAATTTGATTTTTTTATTTCGTTATAACGTCATGATTACAGTACTGCAGTTTATAAATAAAAAACTTAACATAATTTAATAGCAAATAGCAAAAATTACAAAACTTTGCACTTCGATAACTCAATTCTTAATTCTTATCTAGTATTAGTGAAATAAAAACCTCAGTGATATGAGGCATCGGTGGATATACAGGATTAACGAATGTGTCGAGATAAGAAGATGCTGCATGACTGTTCACAGCCTTTCTCCATTTATCAAACACATTTATTCCAGGAGGAATCCTATAAAAAAAAAGAACATGACATTTAAAAGAATTAAGCAACAAAGCTCGAAAACTATACAATGCTTCAATGAAAAAATTTCATACTGTTTAGCAATGTCATACAAATGAATCTATCTCAACTAGCAAACTATCAAAATCCTGGAACACTATTAAAATTTATTTGAGCTACTGATATAAGTATTAGTCAGACATATAATTCCATATATTGATATTTCAAGCATAACTGACAGTTCTAAAAACACATGATTTGAGTAAATTATGTAATTACTAGGGAAAAAAAAACTCTCATTTTTCATAAAAACTAACTTCAATATCATTCGAATATGATTCTTCCCACCATGTATATACAAAGTATTTTCATCTTTATTGGCATCTACTTCACAACCGGAAAGCAGCACTTCACCCACTGGTGTATCATCTGCGAAATGTGACTGAAATAAAGCAAGCTTAAATACAGCACAATGTAAAGAGAAAACAACAGTTTACAATATCTTATTTCAAAGAACGTGTTCCAACAAAAACATTTCAAATCTAAGTAACAATGTCCATCACAAAATATTATGGAATGCCAGAACCAATAGAATTTCCGTAGTTCAATAATTTGAATTCATATCGAAAAAGGAAAATATATCCCACATTTGATACAATAACATCTTTCGGCGATAATGACAGAAGGTAAAAGGTTGTCCGAACAAATCAAGTAAAGGTGGATATGCATTTTTGGTCCATAAGTATACTGCTCAGTTCCTTAATCTAGTTAAGAAAACAACTTACTGCAAACCATTGTAAGCGTCCATCTCTTGTTCGAAAATACCGCTGTACCCAATTCTTCTGTAATTCAGCATAAATGCTCTGGTCCTCTACAGGAACTTCGAGATGCCCTTCCATATTAGTGAAACGATTGAGCTTTGATTCCTTCCGAGGTTCATAACTAATCTGCATTGCAAACAGAACAAAAGTATTTACCAATTTTTCACTCACATCAGCTTGAAAATAAAAATTCACAATGCTTTTAATTATTCTTCGCATTGCTAATTAAAACGATCTACAAATTATGTCATATCAGGATTGATTTTTCTCCATTTCATGTGTTTTTCTAAACAATTCTGAAGGGGCTTAATATTGATAATGATGAAACAGAAAAAATAGATTAGCACAATTGAATGAATGTTGAACTGAATGTCACGTCACAATAAAGCGAACGAAGAGAGATAAGGCTGAGAATTTATCAATCTTTCAGATCTAATTTCAGAATATAATTTTAAGGTGCACCCGCATCAAAAGTAACAACAAACCTCATAAAGCTTGTTGAGGAGAAGCGTTGGATCCCAATAAGCGTATGCATTCCCTTCATCATTTACAGAATTTTCTTCCTTATACTTGTTTTGATCTGCTAGGTTACATGGAACAGTTGGCATGATGTAACTTTTTCTTGAAGCTAATATCTCACTGTTAACTTGAGTATGATAAGGATGAATCTCTAAAAGCCGTTGCTCACAGATGGCACTTGACTCTTTATTGCTCACGAGATTATTTGAATATTCGTTGCAAGGATCAGAGAACGAAGTGTAGTGAAGATAATTTCGCTTGGAATTATTTGAATCTTCGACAAATGTAGATTGTTTCAAAGTTGGGACAGGTTTGACAGAAGTTCCATTTGTTGCACCCACTAACAAATCCAAATTGGCTTGATAACTGCCATCATTTTGAACAGTGATAAGGCTTATTTGTGGAAGTGAAAAGTCTTCATTAGTGCCTGGTAGATTCAGCTGAAAGTTCTTTTTTTTTGTGTGATACTAGGGATGACGGGCACACTTCGATTCTACCATTTGTACGATATTCAGACTCATTACGAAAAATCCAGTATTACATAAGAAATCCTTGGGAAATTCTTGCAAGTTAACCTGACTAGTCTTAAAACTAGTTATCTTTTCTTGCTCGACTACTGTATGCAATGAAGGAACGGGAGCGAACCCTGGGACGTCTGAAACTGCTAATGCGTTGGAAGTGGAAGATCTGAAAATTTTTTAGCATTAAACAAATTAAATTTAATAAAATTCAGCAACCTTGACCGACTGAACATAAAATGAAATGATAAATGTTTTCGTAAAATAGCTATGCCTTTAAAATAGTATTGAATATAAGAAAAGTGTGTAAAAAACAGAGATTTTTTCTGAAAAGATTTAACTCTAAGTTTTTAAGTGCCAGGATTAGATGCAAAAAAAGAGAATCATGATAAATGATTATGAAGTTAAAGGAGAAGAAAAGTATTACAAAGTGAGCGAAGTTTTGCAGTCCAGGATTTCATGTACGTTCTAAATAGATAATCAGATATATATTTTTCAGGTGATAATGTTAGAATGTTCAGAAGTCCACAACAAGCCTAAACAGTTTCCCTATTCAACTATTAACAAAGATGTTACACACACACAAAATTTATAATGTCATTCGCAAGACTTATCAGTAAATCCAGCAAACAATAACTGCAATGTGTAGGTAAAAGAGTGTAATTGTTTACAAAACACCAAAATATGATGGCAGAAAAAGTTATGATGGAAGTAGCAAATAATCTGCCCAGTGCTCACACTCATTCCATCGGCAGATGAGAACTCATCTCTTATTAACAACCTATTTCTTCATCTGTGATACATGACAATTAAATGATGGAAATATTTTTTTAATTTCCTCTTTCAAAAAAGTAAACTAAACTCACTACACGCTATCCAGAATAACGAATAAGACCTCATAAATATTGGTAGCAAAGGTAACAAGAAACTGAGTAACAAAATATAAGAACAAAACAAATCAAAAGCAATCTTAAGAAGAAAAACGTGATGAGAAACAATTTGGATTAGCATAAATTATTCCTAAAAACTATGCACAGACAGCACTGTGAAAAATGTATTTTAAATAAAGTACTGGAAAAAAAATACAACTGCTAGCGCTTGGGAATGGAAACAAAACAAGAATTGTAAAAGTTTAAGATGCACTTCAAATGAAAATTAATCTATAAATTTCATATTACACGAAAACAACCTTTGCATATTATACGAAAGACAGAAACTGCAAAAGGACGTGTTTACAAGTGTAAGACATAAAAGCAATGATCGTAGTCATGTTTACTTTGGCAGTGACTGATGTTTAACGACATATCCGTACACTGTTTATTGTATACATGATCAAACTACAATGCTTCGTCAAACGAGCAGTCTACACATAAAACTGAGCTGATGAATGCTCTAACGCCATACGTTTTATAGCACAAGATTCCAAATATAACTTTTATTTTTCCGAAGTGAAATTCTTTTAGTACACTCAGAGTAAGGCAGAAGGGAAGAAAGAGTGATGAATGGAAATTGAGACACAAAGCAAAAATAGTTTCAGATGATAAAGGCCAAAGTGATTAGTGCTTGACAAATACATTAAAACAGAAAAGATGGAAGTTCCTGGAAGAAAAGCAGGAATTGTATGTAAGTGCCAGGACACCATTCATTTTTCTATTGATAAATTGATGAGATTGACAAAATAAAAGCAACGTTAAGTACAAAACAAAACATTGAAAGCCTGTCTCTACATTACTTCTTACACTGATTAAAAAGTACACGTAATATATCACTAAGACAACAAACATAAACTTCCATATAGTACAAAAACCTGAAGCGTAATTATAATCATCCAATTTATTTTCCCGTAACTACTTGCAAGTTTCAACTAGCTTTGTACTTCCAATAAAGAAGAGAATTGAGAGATAGCTGCAATAATATCTATTAGTCTTGCTGACACGCAGAAATCAATCAAACTTATGTCATGAAATGACGCTATATTAGATGAAATGAAAGATAGGATTAGATTTAAATGAACACATATGCAATATTACTAAAAAGTGGATGTAGACTAACACAAAAGATGACAATTGTACACAAACATCAATGTTGTAATGAGTAAACAAACAGCAACTTTAGATTAATAAACGTCAGTACCAGAAATTAAACAGAATATGGTAAGTTTGTAATGAAAGATGTGTGTGTGTGTTTAAATTTAGAGCGTAAATGAAGTTTAGCAGACTAGAACTATCTAAAGTGGCATCCTCACTGTACAGTCTTAATAATTTTGTACAGATGAAAGTAATTAGATCAGTCGGTTTACTTTACTATGTAAAATGAAAGAGTCAATGAAATGATCATCAAAGAATAAAGCAGTGAGTTCTGTTGCCTTTCATGCATACTCCCAAACGGCCTAGATGAACTGTTGATAAATATCATAATATTCTTGTAAAGTATATGAAAAGATAATGGCAAAAAGAGAGAATGAGATCCTTCTAACTACGAAACACGCAAACATACACCATCTGCGTGTATAAATAGAGAAATTGAATGACATGTACAGAAATGATGGGCAAAAGTTTCTAAGAACCATATAAGAGATGGCATTGCTTTTCGCATGAAATTGCTTCGAAAAGAAATTGTGAGAATGTAATGAATGCAACATATTCCTACGTATCTCAACAATTATGGAAAAGAGCAAGAACCTAACACTATACATTTAGCGCAATACAATTTAGCTTTTATAAACAATTTAATGTTTGGAAACATCCTTGGCGTAAATCGATAAGCAAAAACGTCACTACGAAATGCGAAGAAATAGTGCTTGGATAAGATAAAATGATGAGATATGATACGTTGCGTTTTTGCTTATACACACTCACTAAGCATTTATTGACTATAAGTGCTAGTTTTAATATCTCGTTTTTTAATCAGCTTCATGTCTATAAATCAAGTTTGATCCAGAATTACGTATTTGTTCTTTATGATAGCTAGTATAACCCGAATCTTTATTATTCATGCTTTTCAATTCGTTCAAATCTTGTTATTTATATAACAAAAAACTGGCAATGTTAGGAGTTAACTAGACTTATAGAACTAGACGCAGAATACACTGCTTATTGCGCAAAAATGCTTAAGAGTGATACGTTTAAACACCAGCATACCATACTAGTACTACTTATGTTTATTTTTAATACTTCAAGTACTGTTATCGTTTGTATAGCAACAATATCTGTATAATAATAAAATCTGTAGTACCAGTTGACGATGAATGGGGATTTTGGAATGGTTACGAAAAGCAATTTAAAATGGTCATAATAAGGAATGATGGGATGTTGTTGCAAAAGGTGCAAGCAACAGGTAAGAAATGAGGGCATAATGCTACTTACCTGTCCTCGCACTAGTCCATACCCTTTCTCTTCATTCATTTACTTACTACAATGATGCGATATGTCTGCAGTCATTCTCAATTTGAGTATAAATCTCAAAAATAGTGCAGAATTAGTCAAGATATGTATTCTGTAGTTCGATATCATCACATCACAGCTACGATTAACGTCTATTTCTCGTGGCAATAAAGAAGATATTTTAAAGTGAGGTTGAATAACTTGTACAAGTTTCCTAACTTGTTACCTTCTTTCTTTTATGAGTCAAGTTTTGGAACTCTGCTTCTTACTGTAGTTACAATTACATCTATCTTACGATTTCAAAATTTTATTTTCTCTAACTAATATTTAATATCTTTTTTCCTTCCTTCACTCGTAATTGATTACAATTACGATTTTATCTTGCATAACATTTCTATTACACATAGCAATCAAGTTTGTTATTCGACTTATTAATGCCATTATCAAGCGTACTGACAGTAGTAGCCACTGATAAAGAAAGAGTGTAGTTTTTTTTAGTTTTTTCCTCTCTTTTAATACACTTCTCTGTGCAAAAAAAAAATTCAGAATTTTTAAGCTAAAGTCATTCCATTCTAAAATATGTTTTCGATTCCAATATCCTCCTTCAAAATATTACGTTGCATGCATGCACGTCTTGCGTGCAGCGCTTTTTTTCTTTAACTGGTGCTTATGAAAATCAATGGTCTGTGGTCGTTTTTGGTTGCCACTCATTAACACCTATCAAAGATTTTAAGTAATAAAAGAAGAGGTGACTCTGATTCATATTTTCTGAGTTATCAGTAAATCTTTGCAAAATACACCCATTTCATCGTGTATTCCACAATAAAACTAAACGACCGTGAATTTCATCTTTCACATAATTTGTCGGAATTATTTTTATTTAATTGATATTAAATATTATCTCCTCTTTGAAACCAAAATAAGTTCACCATAAAACCACATATAAGTGCCTATATAATTGCACATATTTATAATTGTATGCAACTCTATGCAACTGAGAAACAAATCGATTTTTCAAATAATATGTTCTAAATACTACTACTTTCGTACTTGGATGTAGAGTGACTATTGTCAAAGTAGGAAAATCTCAGGAACTAATGAAGCAGTAACAAATCACGATTTCAGACTTGGAAAACTGATAGGAATATTGGCCAAACAAATTTCTGTAGATGAAAGAACAGAACTTATTGAAAGGGAAAATAGCGATACAGTTGAAAGCGATCTTATCTATTACTTGAGAGTTTCTCCGCATAAAGAAGCGAAGCGATCTTATCTACTTCATTTAAGAGTTTCTCCCTATAACGAATGCATGATGAGATATCTAGATGATAACTGTAAAGTGTGTCGTTGGCATGCTCATGACCCTTTCTATTATCTCGCAACTTCGTGATCAACTTACGTTTTATCTTATTAACGAAAGTTTTGTTCCTTTTGAGCAGTGAATGCAAATATTTGCTATACATCTTATATATGATAATAAATATCAAAATTTTCGGTAATAATGCAATAATAAGTAAACACTTGGACAACTTTGCTCCATAATAATTAACATTTTCTAAAAGTTTTTTCTTTTTTTTAAGTCACAAATTCTTAGCGTTTTTTGCATTCTGTAATTGGCTCAGAATAAATTTTCAATTTTATGGATACTAGCAAATCTTACTGTAGCTTATATGTCCTCAATATTGAGCTTACTAACTGTTAACCTCTCATGCACAGAACGAAAACAGCTCAAGCAGTTTGTTTTTTCTCACAGCAAAATAAGATAGTCTCTTCTGCAATGATTATTCAAACGAAAAAACAAGGTTTGTTGAAAGTATTAACTTGGATGCGCAGCATTTTCATGGATTACTTTTAATGTCCAGTAAAGACTACATGTTTGATTGAAATAATAATAGAAAAAAAAGACTGGCATTTTTCACTTTTTTTCATTTCACAAAATAAATGAACAAACCTTTCTAAAGGAAATAATTTAGCAGCAGATTTTGCTTTCATTAGTCGTGATGGCAAGCTGTCAATATTTCCGCAATTTTTTTGTGATGGCTTGTTGAAAGTCGCATTAAGCCGTGGTATGTAATGATGCTGCGATATAGACGTACGAATATTGGAGTTGATGGATAAAGATTCAGATGTTTGTCTCGTTTTGGAAATAGCATCATCATTTCTACTATGATGCATTTTCACTGCAGGAATTTTTCTCTCAGAATATAGCGAGCGAATCGATTTCACTGTTAACTTTTGTAAATTTTGAGTGCAAGCCGAAGAACTTTCTTTCTGATAAAGAAGTACTGATGAGTTTAAATTTGTTAATGTCACATTTAAATTCTTAATTTCATGTTGCTTACAAAATAAATCAAAATATGCTAAAAATATTTTCCTAAAGGATAAAGTTACTTCACCTCATTTTGCAGTGTCCATTTATTAGTCCTACTCATTCTTCTGATCATATCAGAAATAGACTCCTGAGAGTTTGCTGCTGTTGTATCTTCTTTTTCAGATGCGCTTTCATCGTCATAAACGTTTAGGTCAAATGCTACAATGTTTAACATCGAAAATAAGGCAGATGCAGATTTTTGAATAACGTAACCACTATATCATGTGTTGAAGATTAAGCATTATTCACAAGCTTTAAACAAAATTCATCGTTTTGAGAATATACAATATGCAAAATTTATCTTAAATATTATAATAACTTGTATTTCGTGACTCAAATCAAAAGAATGTGCAAAATTAATTAGCACTCAAAAATATTATTAAGCTAACATCTTTCATAATTTTCTGCCATTTTGTCTGAATTTAGACCATTTGAAGACTGCATTTTTTGTGTATTATTTCGGATTAATATTCTCAAATTTTGATTCATCACCTACAAAAGAACAAAAAAAAATGGTGAACTCATATTATAGACTTTTAAAATCAAATTATCGAAAATTTTTGCTCACATCAACACATAAATAAATTTATGGCCAATCAAAATTTATTTTTACTTTTAGTATTCAAATAAAATAATCATTAACAAAATGCAAATGAAAAAGTACCTTTTCCTGCGATTTCGTACTGGAAGTATTGGTGAGTGGTGATACATTGTTTTCACAGCATTCAGTATCCGCCATGTGAGCTACGCTTTTAATAAAAAATGAAAATTTCAGGTGAATATTGCTCTAAATATCATACCTTCTTTTATTTTTTATTTATCTTCTCCTTTTGACTTCTTCTTTTGAGACTCATCAAATATTTTCACTTTAATACTTTACATAATAATAAACATTATTTTAAAAACAAATTGAAAAAGATCAAGTAACAAAAATAATTGCTTTTTTTGAAACTTTATGTAACTTATAGTTATTCAATCTAGCTTAAACCAGTATGTAATAAATGAAAAACGTTGTTATTAGTAGCATTGCCACAAAATACTGTTGCTTTCTGGCTGTAAGGTAGTATGAGATAGATGCTTATCTATGCTTTTTATGTCAGTCATTTTAATTTTTATGCATTCTTTGCACTATAAGTATATAATTAATAAATGATTAAAAGTCAAAGGAAACAGAAAAAACAGTGCCCTAAGAAACGCTGCCAAGCGAGTACAATTTGAACGTCACAAGCAAAAAAATAGAAAATAATTTTTTACTTAATGCGTGTTTTGTCTACAAAATATTCTGATTTTATGCTATTTACTTTCTTTTGTTACTGTTATTGTTTATGAAAATAAAGTTGATGGGTTGCTAAAGCAAGAAGCATTAGTAAACAGTCATTTTTATTTCTGACCAAAGTATTATCAGTAGATTGCATAGTAACAAAAGTGTATGCAATTAACATACTTTCCAAGTTAGGTGCTAACACTTGGAACATTTGTTGCTCATTACAGGTATCAATAAATTTAACAAAAGAGAATCAAAATAAAGAATCTGTACAGAATATTATGCTGAATGAGATTCTGAAATGTTTCTTACACTCGCATAGAAAGATTATTCATTGAAAGTGGTGGAATAATGAAAGAGTAATTAAAAAAGTACCTGGTTTGGTTTATTTGATCGTAATTACATTATCAATGACTGTATGTTAAAAAAAGAAGAAATAGACAAATCTTTCTCAGTATCATAACGAATACTGAAACTGATAACAGCCATAAGCAATAATTTTGATATCATCACAATTCGTACGTTTATTGCAGTCAACATCATCGTCTCTGACGTAGTGAATAAATTCAAAAAAAAGTTCAATACTCATGTGATTGTTACAGTTATTCACTTCACAATATTGACTTTTGTTTTTTCAATTCAATAAGTTTTTCTTTTAATGCTTTATTTTACAAAATTGAAATGAATAATTATAAAAAGTAATAATATAGATTAATTATTTTATTGCAAATATATTCTTCTTTGTTTCAAGACTAAGACTTTCGTATTTCAAAACTTTACAGTTCATAGATCTGTAAATACTTAAAATCCAATACAAATATTTAGATAAATAGGATGAAAATTCACATCCTACACAGTCAGTAACCTATTAAGAAATTCAAGTCTTCAGGTCAGTTTTCGTAATTAATCTTAATGTTCTGGTAAAAGGATAAAAGCAAAAAAACTTGGGAAGCAAAAAAAAATAGAAAAATAATTTTTTACTTAATGCGTGTTTTGTCTACAGAATATTCTGATTTTATGCTATTTACTTTCTTTTGTTACTGTTATTGTTTATGAAAATAAAGTTGATGGGTTGCTAAAGCAAGAAGCATTAGTAGACAGTCACAATACTTGACAAATTTTTTTATTAAAAAAGTGTTCAATAGAGGTAATTTTGAGTGAAATTGAATAAAAATTCTTAAATTCACGAGGAAGAGATTATAGAAGGTATGTTAGAAAGTGGTAACAAATAAATTAAGAACAAAATTAGATAAATTTTTGAAAATATTATTAAAAAAATATTCGCTTTACACTAATTTCCCATTGAATTCAAATCTCTCATTTTTTCATCAAGCTGTTTTTACTACAAAGAATATTTGTGCTAAGCCATAACAGTGAAGGATAAAATTTTAATTAAGAGTTAACAATTTCAAATCAATCATAAAACTTCAGCTTAGCAAATATTTGTGTATATTAGGTGTAGTAATTTATGTTAATTAATATTTTTGATGCGCTAATAAGCAATACATTTCGTGTCACAAATTAATTTTTGAATTTTCTGAAAAATTTTTTCAAAAATGGTAATAAAAAAGCTCACTCAACAAAAATAATGCCATACAAATTATGGAAAAGAGCTAAATTAAAATGAAGAAATGACAGATTAGGCAATAGACTGCAAAATACAAAATTGAAGAATGAAGGATGAAATAAATTTTTGTTCAAGATATTACCAGCAGAAGGGTTAGTTTGTTTACTCGAAAAAATAACTGAAAAAAATAGATTAAAAAATATTCTAGAATTACTGATTGAAGACAAGGTAATTAAGAAAAAATAATCAGAAAGTTTATGAAATAGTCATCAGATAGGCTATAATGCTGAAAATTTTATGTAAATGATCAGATTCATTTAAATGATTGTCCATCTGTAGTCATGAATCCTTCAGAGAGTTAACATTTGTTGTATTAGCATATTCTATTAGAGATACCGATGCAATCAATGATTGAATAATACTAAACTTATCGTACTTTGCTTCAATGTTCATTTTATAAAGTAATTGATGTAACTATTTCCTTTATTTGAAAATTTATTCAAAATAGTGTAAGACATTTTCAGATGAACAGTATGTATAGTGTTTATTTGGAAATAGTAAGATACGAATTTTTACTTGTATTATAAATGATTCTGAACAGCCAAAAATAAACCCATAAACACTTGAAAATTAAAAAAAATTTTTTTTTTTACTGCAAATTCATTTCATGTTTGAGATTGTGAAGCAGAAATTCTCAACTCAACTTTTTTTTAACTTTAATTGTAAATTGTTTAATTGTTAATTGTGAAAAACTGATATCCATTGAAAACTTATTCAAAATATTCGGTTTCAGCTGAAAAAATCACTTCGTCAAGTAGCTTGTTTGCATGCTAGATAAAAAAAAGTTGCTGTAGAAGATAGATCAAAAATTTGCCTTGAGACACAAATAATCACTAATCATGTAATTATCTCGGTAGTTCTCTTTGTTATGTTCTTGGAGCCATGACCATTAGTTTTGGGATTTCCAATTTACTTGGTAATCGTAAGGATTTTTTCTAAAAAACTTAGTAAACAGAGCTGGTATTAAACAACTGATAAAAAGCTGTTTTATTACTTACTAGACTTGTTACTTGCCTAAAATAAAACTATGTATAAAAATCTCAAGCCTGATATAAGCATAAAATAGTAATTATTCAAGTAGTCAACAAAACTAAGTTTTAGAGCACGAATTACAAAACTGATTTAAAAGAGGATGAAAAACATATTTCTAGAACTGTAACTTCTTGTACAGACTCCCTGTTAAAATGTCTTGAAGATAAATTGTTAAGAAAAGTTAAAAATGGAACAATGTAATTTTTTTTGTCAGTAAAAAACAAACATTTCTAACCAAATGATATATGGCAATGACTTAATTTCAAAAAAATGATTTGGAACTATTTCCTTGTAAACAGCAATGAAAATTTTGTTCATTTCTTTAGTAATAAGTGATCTTTTAAACTAATTTAAGGAATATTTTAGAAATATCTATCTACTGATGGCATAATTCAACTCTGAAATTGAATAATATTCGTCAAGATCTGAAATGGAATCTAAATAGTAAAATGTATTTTAGCGATGGGAAAGGTTAGCAATTTTCGCTTTTTCAATCTTATTTTGCTTCTATCTGAAAAAAATCATCAAAAATTGCTATATACGGATTTTTCTGGCAAACATTGTTATTAAGGAAAATAATATTTGCATTAATTTAATTACGATAATTTGCATGTTATGGAAACAAATTATTTGCTTTAAAAATACCAGACATCTGTACAATACTTTTCACATCTAAACTTTAGAAATAATGATGAATTGTATAAAATTCTGAAGCAAAAGAAGAAGTTTTTTATTTAATTTATGATTGCTTGCAAGCTTTTTTTTGCATTATTTCATCTTGTTATGGCTTCTTTCAGTGGTTGTATGGATGGACAGTTCCTTCTACTTTTATGTATCGTGATTTCAAGCGTTAGAAAGAGAGATAGGCAGCACGATAATGATGGAATTCTTTTTTGACAAGTATTACAACAGCTGAACAAATGTTCAGCTTGTTATCATTGTGCTACTTACTGCATGCATTGCATATAGCCTCCTGTGAAATGAAAAGCAAAACTTTGTTGATAATAATGTACAAAATGTTTGTATAAAAATTTTGTTTTGTATTTGTCATTTGCTTCTTTACACTTTTTCTTTTTCTCAGTTTTAGGTAAATGAATAACATGCAATGATTTGTCAGAAAACCAGTCATTTATTAATTAAACAAGAATGATAATAAAGTTTTAAAAAAATGGAAATTTGAAATTGATAAAGAAGTTTATTACTATTTCCAGCAATTTGCCGTGATTAAAAGGTCTAATACATGCATTTCTCATGCTAACATGTATTGAATTGAAGAAAATCCAATTTTACAACAGCTACAAAACTACTCATAATCAATCTTATAATCAATCATTTATCAATTACAATGGACGGTATTTTTTTAAGGTGCTTATAAGAAAACAATTCTTATAAGCATATTAGCTGATAATCACTCCATAAAACTTAATAATCAGTACTTCAATTTATCAATAATGCTTGATTCTGTGATAATAGTAAAAATAGAAAAAACTTTGTACTGTTTAAACAGCGAATGCAAACTAAAAAATTTAATACAATTTCATTTATTTATCCATCTATCTACCACATACATTTATGAAATAAAATGAAGAGAAATGTGCTTGAAAATAGTTATAAAATGAAGAAACGCAGTTGTTCACACAATACACAAATGTATTTTTTCTTTTTGCCTTTCCTTCTCGATTTGTCCAATTCATGCACCAGAGAGATACCTAGCAAATATACAGCGGTCCATCTCATCTCATTGTCATTGTCACTGTCATCTGTGCATACGCTTTACGCCACAATCCACACGTGTATGTTTATGCTTGTTTGCTTCTCTGCTGTAAACTGACTGACGTAACGATTTATGACAACAAATGCTAGAAGACATTACAGCAACTTTTGTGCTAGCAGTAGCATCTTCGTTTCACCACCCGACACATTTTTCTAGTCAAGCAATTCTTTTTATCCCATCATCCCAATGCATTCGTTTCTACCACTATTTATGGAAATGCATCCAAGCTATGATTTAGTTCTGGTTTGCTATGCCATTGTAAGCTACTTTCATTGCGAGATGTAGTTTGAGCTTCGTTAATTGCATATTTTCTGCAATCACATTATCACTTGTCCCTTATTACTTAGCATATCATTACTCTCTTCAGAGCTGATAACAAAATTTTTACTACACTTTAATTTTTTCTGTTCAAAATGCAGCAGTTTATTTATTTCTTATCTACTACCAAACACTATTCACATTTTACATGAAAAAATTTTGTTTTATTCAATTCTCTTTTGTTCAACATTATCTGACAAAGGAAATGAACATTTCATTCAACTATAAACTGGTTAATTTGCATTAGCAATGAACAACTTATGAATATCCGTTCTCGAGAATGTGTCATTCTAAGTAGTAGTGCCGCAGGTGACAACATTTGAGCTTACCTGTTCTCTGCTACTTAACATGGCCGTCTCTTCTCGAACTATCAATTTTATCCATTCCAATTTTTTTAAAAGTTTCATACCTCTCGTTTCAAAATTGTAAGTAACATTTTTCTCACAACAAATACTGTAATAATATATCATGGAAACTGCGAAATGCTACAGAATCTATAGCATATACTTCGTGTAATGAGGCATTATTTCTACGCTACAATAAATGTTCATTATCAAACGAAATCAAAGATAACAATTTCTACATGCAAAAATGTTCATAATTATTGCAGAGAATATCAATTTTGATTTCACGGAGTTTTCATATTTGCTGCGTTTACTTTATGAAAAAGTACAACGTTAATTCCTTTTTAAACTGACATTTGGTAGGATAAATTTTTAAGCTTCAATTATCATTTAAAACACGTAATGTAATGGAACTGGCAAATTTTGTGCAAAAAGAAAGACTCGTTTCCCGGCGTTTGTAGAATTTTCAGATAAAGTAAACTCATCATGTAATAATCATTTTTAGTGCAAACAACGTAATATAATATTAATAAAAGTGCTGTTATCGGTAAACTTTGTAATGATAAGATAGGAGTAAGAGTATAAATTAGCTGTTGGATCATTTTTTGAATTATTATCAATCTACTTGTAACGCTATCGCAATCATTTTTGTTTGTACAATATATATTTAACAAAGTGGTGAAGATTTGATTATTGCCAATCACACATACAATTCCAAATTATTCGCCATATATTACGTTGTTTTTCAAAGTTCACTTTACTCCATTTGGCATTTAAAGAATCATGTCTCTCAAATACTTCTTGCAGTTACAGAAGCGAAATTCCCCAAAGTTGTAAACTGAAAGTGATGAGTTTTACTTGATATTTTTTTTGAGAACGATATGAATATGAGGAACACATGGTTGTTTGCGCAATTTTCACAGTTTGAATTTCAACGTTTTATTTTGCAATGCTTTATTGCTAATCGTAACTTGCTATTGTGATAGATTATTTATCGTTGAGCTGATTTGTTCAGAAGTTGATGGTTGTGTTGTAGAAACATAATTATAATTCAGCACATATTAAAAAAACACAAATTCAAATTCTATCTCATTTGCGATACAAGACCACATCATCAGCGCGGCATCAAAAATAGAAAGTTTTATGTAATTTTTATGCAATACTTCGTTTCTCTTGCTGAATTTCTTTTAATTTATAAATTTTTTCATTATTCATGTACATATATATCCTAAAGTGTTTGTTCAGTATTACGATGCTTTTCAAATTTTTATTATCAATTATTTTTTAGGATTGAAAAACAGGTACTAAGTTAGAATAATGAAGAAGATTGTATTCAACATGCTATTTCTCATCTATGGAATGCTTTTTGAAAAATCAAAATTAAACACTAAATATGATATAGAATCAGCACAGTATTTCAGTATATCATTGCGCACATGCAAGCAAACAGAAAAAGTAATAAATTTCTTGCAGTGTAAATACAAATAATGGAAATTATTTAACTCCGAAAGTAAATTTTAGCATTTTTATTAATTTAAACAAAAAAACTGTACAAATATCCAAGCAAAAGCAAATTATCTATTGAGTAATTAAAAAAGTGCGATTATTACTTGTCAAAAGACTTGTTGTACAAAAATTCCATTAATTGCTGCAAACTGATAATTTCTTTGAGAAGAATGAGATTTAGCAAATATGAAATGGCATAGCAGCAATTATGTAAATAAACTTATTTATATTTGAGTAAAAATCTTTACTAATTTGCATTTACTCGACTGCAAGTTAAGAATGCTTACAGTTCTATGAACCATTTTGATTATTATGCAACTATGAATATGATTCACTCTCATTACTAATGCTTTTAATATATTTGATTTTCTCTATCCTATATTTGTTTCAAGCCGAAATTATCAAACAATTCTTCTATGCTTGTCGTTATAAATTATAAACTAAGAATAATGAAGCAAATTACTTATTCCATAAACGGAACAATAAACTATTGTTAAATAAGAAATATGATTGATTGTACGTAATTTCTGACGCTGAATAAATGACTGCAAATGAAGGCAAATAAAAATCACAAATTAACTAACTTAAAGTACTAGTCATTATTTCTCTTTCATTTTTCTGCTACACACAAACTATATACTTGATAAATAAATATTGCATTTCAAAAATTGGTTTCCATCTATCAAACAAAATTGCTTTGCATCAGTGGAAATAATTCAGGATATCTTAGCTATTTACAAGAAAAACAAAACAAAGTGCTACTCTGAATGACTTTAATTCTCAAAAAAATTTGAATAATCACAATTTATTATCAATTAATGAATAAATGCTTGGTTCATGTAATATTCATTTATTGTCTCTAATTGTAAGGCCGTAAATAGGCGTAAAGGTATTTCGTGACTTGTCCTTATCAAATTTAGCTTAGCAATTTTGTAATCATTTTTAGTATATCCGTTTAGTACATCAAAAATTGAAGGCTTATTTTGTAAATAGAAGACATGAGAAAAGCGAGCTAGATTTTCATAGATTTTGTTACTATCATAGATAAAGGATTAAGAATAAAATACATGCCAAACTAATTCTCATGACTATCACCTTCAAAATATACTTGATCTAATCATATATGCAATATTATTTGCAACAAAGCTGTATCATTTATTTTACTTTCTCCACGTGGCACGTAAAGGCATTGAGCTAACATTAATGATAATATATTCCATCGTTGATTGATGTCAATTTGATTTCTGCTATCAGCGAAGTAATACTGTACTGCAAGGCGCACATCTTGTGAAGGAGTTACCATTTTCATATAGTTTTATGCAACAAATAAGTCTACATTTTTTACTGTTGTCGACAAGCAGTTAATTTAATAAAACTAAAAAGTTGACTAAAATTAGAAGCTCTACGCCATCTTAATATTCTAAAGCCTTATCATCTTCATCTCTCTGACTGTTTGCTAAACAGTGAGTTAAGCAAATGATAGATAATACTTGGTTGTTTCTATGAAGACACACAATGTCATGAGTAATTTTAAGCACGAATTTATCACTGTGTTAGCTAGATGACTCAAATATGACACAGATGTACTTACTGACTAAAAGTCCTGTTTATGAGTCATTTTTGCTTCATTTTTCGTTAAAATGCTAAAAATTACGATTGAGAAACCTCCAAATTCTGATTAATTTTTACAGTCTTCATTATTACCTTATCACTGATCTGTTGAAGAATAATTCCATTCATCATTAAACGTTTGATTCCAAATTCAATTGTCACGTTTTCTTACTTCATCAACTTTATCAGATGAGATGCTTGTTTATCATCTTACTTTATCATCGCATTACCATTCTATCATTTTTCTGAAAAATTTTCGCGTCTGAAATTTTGTATTTTTGACTGAGAAAATAATCATCAATATTAATATTTTCCAAATTTGACAAAATTTTTTCAAGACTGAATTATTATTCTAAACTGTATGTCATCTTACTTCCCGCCAACTGTTTTTGAAAAGTATTGGTTGATGAGAGAAAAGTGTTTCCAGTCTGAAATAAGCGTGACTTAAATCTACTTTGGCATTGTAGCCTAGTTGCTCATTCGCTGCCGGTGTGCATAAAGACAAAATTTGTTGCTATTATAAATTATAGGAAATTAGATTGGTTACAATGTCAGATAAGGATTCCACGTGCGATAAAGTGCTTCAAGATGGGAAAAAAGGATTTGGTAGCAGTGATGGTGTTACGAGCAACAGAAGGCAACGATTACTTTCGCTTTCTATACCTCGTAAGTTTTAAAAACTTTGCATCTATTACCTGAAAAGTAGCTTAGTATTCTATGTTATATCCTTTGCTTACTTCAGTTTTATAAATTAGTTTTAAAGAATGAAAACCTCATTTCTTCTATATTTCACTTTTATGTACCTATTAATCTTCATTTTTGGTCTTAAATAATTCTGTCGTTCACATAAAAAGTTAACACTTTTGTTTACGAGACTAATATTCTGAATGCTACCGAAGTATGTAAACTTCTTTTATATGTTTGTAATTTGAGGGATAATTAAATTTAGAAATATTAAAGAAATTTTCTTAGTCTTGCTTGCTGTATCTCATTTCATATTTATGTTTCCAAAATATTTCTACCATAAGATAGTTGTTTAGGATATGTCTGTCTGAGATGCGTAGTAATCTTGTGTTTAATTTTTTTGTTTCATTTTGTTCAATATTTTACAAATGAGTAGAGTAATTATCAATTTAATTTACATGAACTCCATTCATTTCTATTTTATCCTACCATTTTTTTGAGCAGTTGTGTGTAGCATATCTTATAACTAATAAATAGGTTACTTATAATTAATAAGTAACCTATTTATAACTCACAACAAATTGCTGTATTTCGCATTGCCAAAATAGTCTAGTAACGATTACTCATTATATTTTACAGTGATAAGATTACTTTGATACTCTTTATTAAAATTCATATTACTGGATCAAAAACTATTAAGTATTTTGCTGGGCTTAAAACTGAAAACACATCAGCTATAGATTTTGGAACAGAAATCGCTGGATTTGAGAATTCATTTTTGCAACAATTTTTTTTACTTTTAGCAATGCCATGGTTTGGCATCGATATAGGCGGTACACTGGTCAAACTTGTTTACTTTGAGCCACAAGATCATGTAAGCTTTGTGTTATTTAAACTCGCATGAGGTAATCAGGCACCTAGTTTGACTATAATTAGAATGATTTCTTAAGATCTTGTTTTTTTCAACCGTTAACTTCTTTTTTCGTTACAGCATGATTTTGTTGAAAGTGAAGATGAAATTCTGCGGCGGAAGAAAATTCAGCGGTATCTTGTAGCAAGCAAAACTTATGGTGGTACCGGTGTGAGAGATGATCATCTGCGTTTATGTAATGTCGAAATCAATGTTAGTCGAAATTTTTTCATTTTCATTATATATTTTCTCTTACTAAGTAGTAGGCAATGCTTTAGTAAAGTATATAAGATTTATATTTGTATATAATGACTTCAGTAAAGGATTTATTTCTAGATAAAATTTTTAAGTTTTTATCCCGTGCCGAATGTTCACCATGGCATGGTTAGCTAAGTTCATAGTCGTTTTGTCGTTGAAATCAGCAATAGATACCAAGTTTTGTAAATATGGTTTATTTCTTAAAATTTGATTACAAGTGTCATTCCTTTTAGGGTAGAGTTGGTACAATACATTTTATTCGATTTCCGACAGATAGAATGCTTGATTTTGTGCATTTAGTAAAGATTAAAGGTTTTGCGGAAATGAGTAGTACAGTTTGTGCTACTGGAGGTGGTTCATTAAAATATGCTGCGGAAGCATCGGTAAACATTTCTCTGTTATGAAGATTCATAGACTGAATAGTCAACTTCAAAAACTTGTTTACGTGAGATAATCTGAAAACTAGTTTATTTTGATACTGGATTTTCTGTTCTATTTTTACAGTGTTTTTGTTGGAAAAT